TTTTTTTTTTTTTTTTTTTTTTTTCTTTTCAGAAAAAAAAAGAAAAAAAAAACAAAAGAAAAATTGGCCCATTAAGTCTAAGATTTGACCTAATGTATTTTGTTTCTGACACTTCGGCTGGAGCTTTGTATATATTTTTGGCCATCAAATAGGGAATTAAAAGGAGGTGTCCTGTTCTTCCTGCCCCAATTTTTGTACTCTAGATTTATTTGACTCTTTTGTTGCTGTTTTATAGAAGGAAAAAGTGTTCAAGAAATGGTGAATGAAGCTCTAAAACAAGTGCCTAATAGCGAAGGTTGGTTTTAATGTTTTACTGCAATAAGACTAGACTGATTCATTCTAAAGTATCTTAGCATATGTGTAGGATTTTTTTTTTAATGCATGGTGCTTTTATCATAAATGCAGGAAACAAAAACATTGATCTGGTATTCACCCTCAGACTTCAGTTTCGTTTTTTATGGAAAGAAAAGAAAAACATTTATTTTCAGGGAAAATAGGTGTGATCTCTGTAATTGCATCAGGTTAACCAAATTCGAGATTCTTTGGCTATTATGGGAGATAATAGTACAGCCTTCAGCTTACCACAAGTATGACCCTTCCTCATTTTTTGATCATCTCCGTTCAGTCTCATTATTAACATGGGGTTATGCTTAATTGTGGTGTTAGGAAGAAGGGATCCTTGCATGCACATTTACTTCTATGTCAAAACATGTTATTTCTGTAAAAACTGATATGCATGGTAGTAGCAAGCTATGTTCTAGGCATATAGGACCGTATTTCTTTCAAAACTTTTTCTTGAGGAGTCCAATAAAATTGTGATTTTATGTTTTTAACAGCCTCATCTTCAAAGAATCAAGCTTTGTGATATGAAGGATGGTGAGCTGGAGCCAACATATGTTACAAAGAGGGAAGAGTTAAAAAAGCTTGTTACGAGCATTATCCGTCCAAAGATTGTGCAGGGAAAATCTATGAATGGGAAGGAATTTGTATCCTTCTTAGAACAGGTGAATGTGCATTTTATTGTCTCGAATTTATTTGCTCGTTACCCGTCTTTTCACTAGTGGTTCCACTAACAATTTGATGAACATTTAAATGATGTATGCATCCATTTTTTTCTTTAATTTTTATCAATACATGATTTATTTCTAACTTTAATTTACATTTTGCTTCAATTTTAGATTCTTGAAGCATTGAACAAAGGGGAAATTCCATCTACCGGATCTCTTGTTGAGGTTTTCAACAAGGGTGTTCTTGAGCGATGTTTGAAAATATACAGTGACAGAATGGCAACGGTGCATTTACCTATGACAGAGCAATCTTTGCAAGGAACCCATGAAATCCATCGAGCAGAGGCAATGCGAGCTTTCGATGAACAACATTTTGGCCGTCACCATGCAAAGAAGTCAGTCACACAACTTGATGAAGAAATCGACAAGGTTTCAACTTCTCTATTAAAAGTAGTCTAAATTTTTTGGGGTATGATGTCAAGTATCGTCAATTTAGTGAATAATAGTTGCTAAACATCTGATACCTTGGTGTATTTTAGCCTATTTCTTGTGAAGTTGAAGTAAACAATTCATTTGGATGAAATTGGGAGAACCATCTTGCAGTGCTAGTCTCTTGACCTTGGAATACCTTTCAGTTTCTAGTAGTAGTTGTAATAATAGTGATAATCAAATTGGGAGAACCACCTTTCAGTGCTAGTCTCTTAGCATGCATTGTTTATCATTGGCCTCCAGTGCAATTGCCTGAATAACATGTTTTTTTTCCTTTGATTTCTAAGCCCCTTGTTATGTAAGCTCCCTAACCTCTAAAAATTGTTTATAGGTGCATAGTAACATTATATTGGCGAATCGGTATCAATCCTCAAAGCTCTGTGAGGAACTGTATACAAAGTGTGAAGATCAAATGGACCACCTTCAAGCTCTAAGGCTTCCGTCAATGGCAAAATTCAATGCAGGTTTTCTGCAATGCAATCAAAGTTTTGAGCAAGAGTGTGTTGGACCATCAAAAGAAAACTATGAGCAACGTATGTCAAAGGTAATGCGGCCATCAGGTTATCTTGATGTCTAATTCTGATTTTATGTTAATTTCATGGAACATAGATGACAGTGAAATGGGTGTTTCACTTAGTTTTGCTCGTAAACTGACCTGATTTATTCATAAAGTTACGATATCTTTCAAGTCGTTTTAGTGACCTTCATGTGGTGTCTCAATCGGTATTTTGAAATTTATTTTGTTTTAAAAAGAATAAATTTGATTTGTACTCTGTGTCTACGCCAATCAACTGTTCGTATATGACCCCATTTCTTTCTAGATGTTTTCCACATACGTTTTCAAGCTTAGATGGCTGTCCCAATCTGACCAAATCGACCATATACAGTTTCAAAAGCTGAATTTTCTAATCATGGATGAGTCATGATTTGCAGATGTTAGGGAAGTCACGATCTCTCTTTATCAAGGAATACAATCACAGGCTTTTCAATTGGTTGGTGGCGTTTTCTCTTAGCATGGTGATTGTGGGAAGGTTTGTTATAAAGTTCTTCTTAATTGAAATTGGGGCATGGCTGCTCTTCATCTTTTTGGAGATATACACGAGGATGTTCTGGTCGGCCGAGACCCTTTACTACAGCCCTGTGTGGCATTTTGTTGTAGTCACCTGGGAAACAATCGTTTATAGCCCCATCCTGGATTTGGACAGGTTAGTAACTTTTCTGGTTATTGAATATACCATACCTTATATCTAACTATGAGCTTCATACCTACTCATTCTCATGCCTAAAAAATGAAACCTTCAAGTCTTAGATCATTTGACAATGTAAATGAATGATTTTATTGAGGAAGGATAGTTTTATCAGTTCCTCCATCAACTATTTCTAGGAATACACCTTCATGACTGGTAATTTTTGGTTTGTTCATATAGAGAGAATGACCTTTCATCTCACTAGAAGATCATGTTTGGATGTCATATATGGAGTTGAAACTGATGTGAGTTTAACTGGTTTTCTTGGTTTATTTGGTGAAACAGATGGGCGATTCCCATGGGAGTGTTGGCTGCTGTTTTGGTTGTGTATTGGAGGTGTTGTGGAAGAAGAAAATATGGATCCCATTGGATTTTGCCATTATACAACAATCCCAAGAATGGTTCACACAGGCCAAGATCAGACTGATAACATTAATCTTTGCATCTCTCCAACCACTTTGCAGTTTCTTTTTTTGATCTTTCTGGCGAGCTCTTCACCTTTTTGATACATGAAGCTCGCCGCTGCTCATCAGCTTCAATATTAGTTAGGAACCAAGTTTAGACAGATCATTTATCATCATTCTGTAGCGACAGTATAACAGAAATATATGGATCAAGGAAATATTGCTGTCCTTCAAATATATTTGTAACATCTCTAAAATATTGTATTCAATTTTACTCACCGAAGCTATTTCCTCTCTTTTAACATCTGAAAGAGACAAGACATGACAAGAAAATCTATATCACATTCAATTTTACTCATAGATGCTCAAATTGCTGTATTCAGTTCCTTTCTAAGGCTGTTTGCAAAGTGAAAAACTGGTAAAATATTATATGGAACCAACTAGCCAACTGATTTTTGCTTCTGAAAAAATACCTACTTAAAACGAGATCCAAGTCTTATTACATAATGGAACATGAAATGAAAACAATAGGTAAGGAGTATTTCATTTCTTATTAATCCCTTTAATGCCACAAGCCCGATGTTACATGTAAATGGTAGATACCTTGCAAACGACCGACCTTGGAAAATTTGGAACAGAAACGGCATTCAATTCTTGTGGTTTGGAGCAGCGTGTGAAGGTTCTGCATCCCAACCTGACATTGTGCCATGCACGGTCTGCTTCTGCACGTGATCAATATGCACGGAGGGCATATCGGTCATTTTGGTTGCCACGTCATTTTGTGATCTTCCAACATGTGGAATGGGTGGAGAAATAGTTGGAACAGGGCCTTCCAAATTCTGGTGATGTGGGGGGCTGTTTGCAAATGGAGACATGTTTCGGTGGAAGAATTGGGTGTTGGATTGCGACGGCATTTGGCTACTGACAAACGGCATTTGGCTTTGAGACATGGCAGCAAGCAGTGGATTCACTCCTGTCACTCTCTTCACTGTTTCTTCAGCCATTTTCACCTGACAATTCACGTACAATATTCATAAATATCCTATTGATTTCCCAAAAACATAAAGTCAGGCATCATACTATTCTCACTATACAGTTAATCCATCCTTGTACTCTACAAGAAAGGGCACCTAAAAAAACTACACCATTAAGAGCCTTCCAATCACTAATAGTCAACAAGAGTTGTAATTACAACAGGTTGTAAATACAAAAGAATTTTGTGGGTAGAGAGAAATCCCCTGAGAAATTGTATTGTGTACAGGATTACAAAAAAGGTCAAAAAGGGTTCGACGGCCGGTTGAAAAAATGTGGGCTTATTTTTCCTTTCTTTCTTTCCGAGTTTTCTTCTTTATAATCGGAATTATTTTTAAGGGTTGGGGAAGATATATTTTTTTTGGGCATTCCACCATGATTTTGACACAATCATAACCAACTTAAAGGGAAACTCAATCCCCATTATACTTTTTTACTAGTTTTATGACTTTGTCGGACTGTAGGCGAGGTTCTCCTTCGCCGATCAAACAAAACTCATACAGAAACTAAGCTTCATTTAGCCATACACATCGCATATACGTGCATTTTCACTTGATTACGACTCTAATTGACTTAGTTCAACCTTGCCTCTACATTAGGCCAAGTTCCTTCAAATGCAACGTCGCATCTCATCTTGTCATCTTGATCCTTAATAATACAACCCGGATCTAAAGCTTCACCAAGTTGTGTTTGGACCCTTCATTGGGTTAAAACAACCTCAAAACACTCAACCGAAGCTCATCAGGTGATTTCAACACTTATTGGAGCCTATTGGAGCATTATAACACTTATAAGGGCATGTTGATGCTAGAGCTTATCATGGCATTACAATGCTTATCGGGACAAATCGGTTCAATACAGTGTTAACCGTAAACTTTGGAGTCCCACTGATGCTTCATGATGCATCCTAAGACTTGAGATGAGATCGGCCTTCACTGCTCACTTTGACACGCTTATCGAGAACCAATCCATGAGTAATCTTTTATGATCGAAACATCTCGAACATCCATTCATCCTAATACTAACAAGGCATGAACCCTCTTGTGTCCATGTTTAGTCATTTCTGCATACCTTGTCGAAGAATGACCCTATATACCAATCTCTAACTCAAGGGATGGGGCGCAATGTTAGCCCACTTGTGTTGTCCGACACTCTCCTCAAAAACCCATTGAAGGAAAACACCCAAGACACTTGTATTACGATGCTTCCGCACACCACATGTCAAGGGGTAGCTCATTTAGGTCATGGGACCCAACGATGGTGGAGAGCTGACACCATGCCGTCACTTGTAGTATATTCTAAGGTATATTGCTTCAGCAAGAGTAGATGTCATTTTGGCAAGAAGTCATTGGTTGAGTGTTTGTCAAGTATCCGATTTACACCAAATTTGACGAGCTTTCAATATTGGAATCCCGACTTTTGAAGATATGGTCAGCCTTATCCAACCCCTTAGTCTTTGACACTCCTAAGAACATTGTTGTCTCAAATTTTACTTATACCACTCTTTGACCTATGTCAATAGACAAGTAAGCTATTGACAACAAATCTACCAATTGATCATCATGGAAATTACAAAATGACTTCTCCCCGTTTACCTCCAAAACCAAAGCAACACCAAGCAAACCTTTAGACTATTCGAGTTCCTTAATGACCTTCAATCATCGAGGTTTGACTTCCTCAATCACTTTCTATCATCCAAGTGCACTTCGACGATTAAAATCGTACCTCTCCTATAACACACTAATCTGGTTGAGGTGGCAATGCCACAACATTGAGAAGGCAAGTACACTAACAATTGTGCTAGAGGATGTGCAAATCATGGGCATTTAAATTTTCTGAAATCTTACACCGTCTATCATCAAGGTGCATCGGCAAACACAAGATGGTTTCTTTTCGATATACCTCCACTCGTCAAGGTACAAAACAATTCAATAGACAATTTTGTTCTTTAATGTGGTTCTGACGCCTTTGTTTTCCTTTTTTTTCTTTTTTTTTTTAATAATTGTGAATGTTCAGGCCAGATTAAGTGCATCTAGGCTATTCTCATGGGACAACTACTTTACCCTACTACATTTAGTTTTCAAAGTAGCTGGTAAGAAATTAAATACTATATAGGTAGAAATCATGATTTCAACCTATTCCCTTTTTGAGCTCTTTGCTATTTACATTGGCCCTTATTGACCACTAGATTAATCCGTTGTAGCTTCGGTTTTGATGCACTTTTAAAAAGTCTGTTCATCTTGCATTTAGGAAAACAGTTTATAGTGCTGCCTAGGAACCAATAAAAAAGAGCCTATGATACACGGAGCAGGGTGAACCTGAAAAATGTGGAAATGGCACTCTTACTTGGAAGAAAAGAATGAAGGAACAGGAGGAAAGTACTATCATCCACGATCAAGAATTGCCAAGGTAGATGAAGAGGAATGCATCAGAACTTTAACCATTCCGCAAGGGAGAGCGCAGTGCCTAATTTCTGCTTTAATTAGATGTTCGAAGTCCTTTTTGTCCTTGTTTTGGTCTTTTATGTTATTCTTCTTTTCTTTTCTTTTCTTTTTTTTTTCCCCCACTCCTTCCTTTACCCCCAAGGGAGAAAAAAAACCAAAAAGAAAAAAACAACAATGACTAACCTTCGCTCTTAAAGTCTCGATATCAGCTTTCAAAATTCTATTGTCAACAGCTGCATCATCGTACTTCTGATTTACATCTGTTAGACGCTTTAACAAAGTAGAGTGTTCAACCCTAAGTTGACCGACCTTTAGAAAAGGAACCACATTTAGTAAATGTTTTAGTAAGAAAGGAAAGTAACCAAGAACATATAAGGGTACCTGTGTCTCAAGTTCATTCAAGTGTGCTTGTTTTCGTCGTCTGGAGCGTCTTGCTGATTCTCTATTTGACAACATCCTAGGCCACCATCAATGTCAAGTGAGTAAAGCTAGGACCGGGCAACAAATTGGGCAGAAGGATTGATTTTTCGCATATGGCTTCTTTTTCTCTCCTTTCTCTAATATTTATTTACTGATTAGAAACAAAAACTCTTCCAGATAATAACATTTACTAAACAAGTAAAAGGACAGGATGGAAGATGAGGTATCTTACTTTCCCAAAAACCAATAACGATCACACAAAAAAACCCCTCAATAGTAGCAACAAGAAAAGAGGATAGTTTTTATTTAAATGCAAAGTAAACATGCTTGACATATCTCTATTAGTAAAAATTACAGAATTTTTCTAATAAGTGCTCTTTTCCAAAATATTTTATTGGAAGGTGCAACTTCAAGCTTTTTTGTTTCACAAAGGTACAACGCGATTGTGGAGGGGATTTGATATGAGAATTAAGTTTAGCACATGATGAACTTATATCATCAAAGAAGATGTAACAACAATACCTGCTCTAAAGATTATAACGGGTGAAAAGAATAATAGAAGGCATAAGAAGTAAACAATAACCAGAGGGTGATCAAATGATCGTTGCTTGAGTCATATTCTCAATCAACGGAAATATATTACCTCCTAGCTCGTCTTGCATCACCAGGATCCATATTCTCAATGTTTTCAATGTCTCCTTCAAGATCATCATCATCGGACTCATCTCTGGATGATCCACTTGTTGTTTGAACAGCTTGTATCCCAAGCTTCTTAGGCATTGCAGGTAAGGATGGGATCCCAAGTTGACTACCAGTAGCCTCACTTTCTTTTGTTGAAGTTCCACGATCAGAGCCTTAGCCACCATTTAGCAAAAGTGATATTGCAGTTATAGCACACAGTTCCAATGGTAAAAAGAGTTGGAAGAGACAAGATACATCAAGAAAAGGGTACTAACTAGTAAAATATAAGATCCCCCAAAAAAAAAATATTTTGACTACTACCTTAAGCATGTTTTTTCCCCCTTTTTATAGATGCCAAGCTTATATTGAGAGAGTGAAAGAATAAAAAAGCGGCTTACAAAAATTATCATCCAAAAATGGAGCAAAAAAAAAAAAAAAACATTGGAGCATTTTATGTAATTGATATCCGATAGGGACCCTCTATATATTCCATTCATCGTATCAATGAATGAGCCTAAATAATACCTAAAGACCTAACAAGATAAAAATAAAGGACTTCAAATAATAAGACGACAGGGATGATAACAAAAAAATTTAGCATTCCAGGAGATCAATAGAATAATCAAACTAGCTTACTAGGAGATGAACATCATCAAATATTAGAAAAGATAACTGTAGAGCTACCGAAAAGAGTCCAGACATTCAATATTACCAGAGTGGAGTGAGAAAAGTCCGGTTGCATGTCATTATGCCATGCACTACAACCGGCAACTTTTCAATCCATAATTCATAATTACGGAAACTCAACTTGATGAGACAAAATCAACACTTCGCAGTCGAGGTGTTCAAAAGATGCGGCTTCTGAAGAAATAACACCACCCTCCGCCAAGAACAATGTACCAACGTGCCCCCCACAACAGAGAACTGGAAAACAAAAGAAATGTTCCATATTTTTTCCACAAATTTGACTTCACGTACTAGATCTTCTCATATACGAGAGAATGCTCAATACTTCTGTCGGCACCAAATGGAAAACGGCCAACGAAAGCCATAGGAATAACTAGATAACTAAGATAAATAATGAATATAATAAAACTCATAAGACTGCCTGAGCGGAAGCTACCTTGGCCCGGGGCTTGAATGCCAAATTCGAATGCGTTCGATGTTTGCCCAGGGTGATCGGCTGGCTGGACTGGGCCTTTGGGCTCCGAAGACGCGACCTGCAATCGCGAACACTAAAATGGCTAAAAACAACTTCTCTTTCAAAAGAAACAGATTGAGTTCCTCAATTTCACCTCAAAACACAATTAGAGTTCTGCATTTCAAATCCGAACTCACCAAAGCACAGACACCAATCAGTTTCAAAAGAGAGAGAAAATAGTTACCCGCGACAGAGCCGCAGCAGCGCAAGCCATATCAAGACGATTCTTCAAAAACACACGGTACTGATCAGGATTACTCCGAGCCATTTTCGACGGATCCAAAGACGGAATTGGCTGAGAACGATCGTGATCACAATCCGCCTTCTTGATCTCCAAAATCTCATCATCACCTTCATCACGCTTCGATGTCGAAGACTGAGAAGCAGGAGATGCCACATCCACCGGAGAAACGACCACGCGATCGGAGGTAGTCGAAGGGCAACTGTTCACAGGCAACGCCGAAACTTCCTCAAGAAACCTCTCGAGCGCCCACTCAGAGGCGCTTCGGTTCATCGTCAAGGAAGGATCCAGCGATCGAAAAGGAGAATACGATGGCGGCGAAGATGGCGGCGGCGGCGGCGGCGGCTGTGGCGACCAGAAGGATTCGGAGAGTTCTTCCGATGAGAAGAAAGTATGCATCGTCGTTGTCAGAGTCCGATTTGTTTCCCTCGTTTCGTACGCGCGTTTTCAACGTGAACGTTTAAGCGCGTGGGCAAAAATCCGGTGCTTTAAGGACCACCATACTCGACCAATAAGAAATATCCACGTGTTAATCTTGATTTTTTACTTGTAAGAAAGTCAACCTTTGATTTGATTTCCGTCCGTTCTCGAAACATCGAGGGGTGAGCGAATAGTCAACAACGATACGTATATCATTAAAAATATCATATGATATAACAATGTGACAAATGTATTTTAATTACATTGAATTTACTTAACATGCTTCTGGACGTGCCACTAGAACCATAATTGTTCTAAATCCAATAAAACTTGTACATCGACCATCTTGAAAATCATAGTCCTAACTCTTACCTTCCACTTTGCATCGTGCAGTAGTATGATGTGTTGAAAATATATAATTAATCTAAAAATATGAAAAGAAAAAAAAAAGTAATGGAACAGTGCACACATGGAAATGAACAACTCTTCTACTTAAATTCTAAAAAATTAGAGGAACGATAGTCAGTATTAATGGAGTCGATCACATCAATTTAAAAATCGAACAAATAAGTAAAATTATATTTAAGAATTAGAATGATAAAAATCTTAATATTTTAAAGATTAAATTAATAAAAATACAATTGAATTTAACTTTGAAAATGATACTATTAATAGAAATACTTTTATTATTATTATTTTAGACGATCTTATTTTATTTTAAAAATACTTTAAACGGTTAAAATAATAAAATTAAAAAAAAATACTATTATCTAATGGGTCCATTAGTATTAAATTTTTTAAAAGATTTATATCGAATCAATAAAAAATTTAGACATTAAACTTATTTTTTGAAAAAAAAAACTATTTTAAAGTTTTAATTGAAAAATAGTATTCTTATTTGTATTGTACTAAAATGACCCGAGTTTAATGTAATAAAAGCATACGATAAAATTGAAAGTGAAAAAAAAAAAGAAAAAGAAAAAAGAAAAGGACCAACACTGGGATTCAATAGCCAAAACCCAACTCACTTCGTTGAAAGCTTAGGCAACTCAGCCGTTCATCTTGGTGGAGCGAGAAAAATCTGTGAGGTAAGCTAATTTCGAGCTCCATTGAAGCCAATTATTTTTAGATACATTCAATCTAATCGAAGTTGATTTCGTTTCAATCATAAAGCTCCTGCTAGCTATTTTTATTTATCCATCAGCTACTTGCAGGATTTCTGTTTCTACGAAGTTCTCTCTTTATTGTTTCCATGAGAATTTGTATTTTGGAGCTCCTAAAGTTCGAAAGATTTTATTATAGGAGCTTTATCTCTTCCGACGAAATGGGTCTTCGTTTAGGGTTTAGGGTTTTGTGTGATTGTTGTCTTGAGACGATACTCGAGCTGGCGTTGTATTAGAAAGCTTTTATGCAATGTAATGTCTTGACGTTGGTAGACGGCAGCCGTTGAAGATTAACGTTGATGATTTTGTGGGATCTGATAAGTTTGATCATTTTATGTTGCTTAAAATCATGAAAGGAGCTACAATTTTTTATTTATTTTAGATTTCTGTGTTGCATATTCCATTTTGCCCAGATGTAGTTTTAAGAAATTTGTACATTTGATTGATCTGGATGTACTAATTTCTTCTTTCCTTGAAGCTACACGTGATGAGCAAGAAGAAAAATCCTCTTGTGTTCTTGGATGTTTCAATTGACGGGGAACCAGTGCAAAGAATTGTAATAGAAGTGAGTGAATTTCTTTGGTCCCTTTATCTGTTGAAATGAAGCAAAAAGATTTTATGTGCTTGATTTCTGATAACATGTTCTCTTTTGAACAATGCAGCTCTTTGCCAATGTTGTTCCTAAAACCGCCGAAAATTTCAGAGCACTCTGTACAGGTAGGTTTTATTGCTTGTAAGTTTAAAATCTTGTTTCTGATTATCCAGGAAATATCAAGAATGATCTAAAATTTGATGCATAGTGTAATATTCATTTGTTTAGCTATTTATCATTTTATTATTCAAGAAACGTCGAGAATGATCTTTAAATAAATCCTAATCATTTTATATCTGATTTCGAATCCATTGTCTATTCTTTCTTGCTATTGCTAGATGCCTGGTATATGGAAAATAACCTTTGAAATTATACCTGTTTGGTGTAATCTACACTTGTCCGATAGTAGTCGGCAATTGTAAAAATACAATAACTAATCGACACAGTATACTTTGGGCGAATATATTATTTTCCAATTACATTGCCTGTTGTTTTCAGGTGCAAAGGGGATTGGGAAGACTACAGAGAAGCCTCTTCACTACAAAGGAACATTTTTTCATAGAGTTATTAAAGGGTTCATGGCCCAAGTATGTTACTTTTGTTCTTTGCTTTCGATCACCATTAAATGTTGAGTATTCAAAAATAAATAAATAAATGGTCTTGATTCTATCATAATACATAACTAAATAAAGAAATATATGCTTTTCGTGCACTTACTCCTTAGATAAATGCTTTTCAAATCTCTTATAACTAATAATTGAACAACGAAAAACACTTTGATGCACTTATTGTGAGATCTCACCTCGGTTAGAGAGGATAACTGAATAACTGAATTATGAAAATCATGCCTTTGGACATTTCTGGTATTATCATGGGGATTTATTACTTCAAAATATTAGATATTCTAAACATGTTCATTGAGACCTTGGAAGGTTGACACACTGATTTTTGCTAATTCTACTTCTTTGTCCCCTTAATATTTCTCCATGACCAATGTTTATTCTTTTTCTTTGCTCATCAGGGTGGTGATTTTTCTCGAGGAAATGGTACGCCTTTCTTACTTCTCATGAATTATTTGAAAGGATTTCTTTTTCCCTTTTAAATGTCATTATCTAATGTTCGGACGTCTAATGGACAACATTTTACCACCTTGTAGGGACTGGTGGTGAAAGTGTTTATGGAGGAAAATTTTCAGGTATTTTCCCGTGTACAGTGAGCTCTTGTCAAAATATGTTCATGTTATGATCGTACAAACTTGGAAAACTGCAGATGAGAACTTCAGACTAAAACACGATGGACCTGGTGTTCTTTCCATGGCAAACAGCGGTCCAAACACTAATGGATCTCAATTCTTCATGACATTTAAGCCCCAACCTCACCTTGATGGGTAATGAGTATTTTCTTGCACTCTCCTTAGGATTTGAAGATCGATAATTTCTCGACCATCCGTCTGGCTCCTTCTCACCTTCTTGAAAATCAAAAATCAAATGAAAATAATTCAACTTTGTTGTATGTGGATAAGTATATGTTTGGTTGACGCTTTTCTGCAATTTTGAACAGGAAACATGTTGTCTTTGGAAAAGTTGTGATGGGAATGGATGTTGTGAAGAAAATTGAGCAGATTGGGACAGCTGATGGGAAGCCTAGACAACCTGTGAAAATTGTAGACTGTGGTGAACCATCAGAAATTAAGGAACCAGCTGTGGTGAGAAAGGAAAAAGGTAGTGAACTAATGTAGGTTACATTGGATTAACCAAAGCAAGAAATAAGGTGTTCTTCTAATTGCCTGTGCATGGTTCTTTGATCTTTTTCAGAGAAAAAGAAAAGGTTGAACAAGATTACATCTTCAGAATCTAGTTCTGATGGCCAAGTGAGAGGCAGACAGAAGCGGTCCTTAAAGGACAGAAAGAAAAAGAGGAGATACTCTTCATCTGATTCATACAGCTCTGATACTGAATCGGATTCCTATTCTTCAGATTCAGAATCGTCACTTTCTGATTTTAGTTCCTCGAGTGATGGAAAGTACAGGAAGAGGAGATCCAAAAAAACAGCAAAATCCCAGCAGGGAAGGAAAAGAAAAGGCCAAAAAAGAGAGAAAAGAGGTCGAGTAGGAAAGCATTCAAAGCGCAAGGCTAAATGGTTCGTGTCATGTCTAGTTGGGTTCTAGCTTTCTGCTTTCCTCTGTTATATTCTTTCAGTGTGTTTCAGGACATTGATAATAATTTGCCTTCAGGAGCTCTGGGAGTTCATCCGACACCAGGAGTATGAGTACAAGTGATAGTAGTAGTAGTTCTGATGGTGAACGAGTTGATCATCGTACCACTACTCGTAAAATAAAGGATTCCAAGCATTCTGAGACTAAATCAAAAGGTATTATTGGTATAGTATCTCTTCCCGCTCAAATATGACTTATTTTGCATTAATGAGATTGTAACAGCCCAAACCTAACGCTAGCGGATATTGTCCGCTTTGGCTCATTTCTTATCGCCGTCAGCCTCATGGTTTTACGCGTTTGCTAAGGAGAGGTTTCTACACCCTTATAAGGAATGCTTTGTTTCCTTCTAAGGGTGTAGAAACCTCTCCTTAACATACACGTTTTAAAAACCTTGAGGGGAAGCCCAAAGAGGACAATATCTGCCGGTGGTGAACTTGGGCTGTTAGTGTTCATAACAAGTCCACATGTTACATCTCCAAGGTAATGGTACTGCAGCATACACTTAAATGATTTGAATATTACAGATGAGAAGGAATCCTCGAATCCTGTTGCCGAGACCGCTGTGGAAAAACAGAAAAATCAGGACGTCAATTTATTACAGGAAGAAGGTGAACTGTCCCCGAAGCATGATGACATTCCGAACGATAGTCACAAAACTGAAATTGAGAGACTTGAGAGATCTGCTAATCAGCATCCTGTTTCAGATGGCTCTAACTACTCCAGGTTTCAACTTCATATTCCCTTCTATATCCGTTTTTCAAATTGTTCCGAGCTTATGTTCCGGCAGTTGCTTCATGAACTTTTACATCCGTGACCGACAGGAGCCCTACTCCTGAAAGGCCAAGAAACAGCCCCAGGAACAATCTTAACAGAAATCCAGATAAGACATTAGGAAATTCTGGGATGAAGTATGATGAGCGGAATAGGACAATGCCTTCACGGAGTCCTGTTCATGGTTCTTTCAGAAAAGCTCCTGATCCTTCAGCTTCAAATCACGGTCAAACTTCATCAAGAAGTCATTCTCCAAATGGCACTCCAAAACGTGTAAGGA